ACTAGAATTCATGGTCTCCTGGCTTCTAGCCTAATACCTTAACCACTATTCAAACTGGCTTAGTTTAGGTTATTCCAAATATGTTAACAAGCTGTATGTTACAAAAATAGGGAGTAATAAAGAAACAATAAAATCCAAAAGATGGTAGGTAGGTGTATTCACAAGTAAGCTTTAAGTAGCATTCACAAAAGAAGGGAAAAACAATTTGTTATTGACCAGTTCCTGTCTTAATTCTGTGAAAATATACAGGTTAAACAATGGCTCAAAAAGGTATAGAATAGATTATTATTTATTTATAATAGTAAATATTAGCCTCTTTAGTAATTATTTATTTCAACAATTTACATAGTGGCCTTCACAAAAGTTACTTGAAAGCCAAATTGTAGCTTGTTCATTTCTGGCTTAGTATGTTATGCCAATCCATCCAGTTGCGATTTATTCAATAAATCATAAATTAACTAAGGCTTAGTGTAATTAGCAAATCAACCAGTGAATGAAGAAACCAAGTAATTCATGCATGTGCTTAAATTTAAATTTTAGTGTTGGGAACAACATTAGACCAATGTTATAAATCCTATCTTTAATTTAGCAGCTTAATTTAGGAAAGGAAAATATATTTTTATGTTATTGCAATATAAACTATTGGGTTTGTGCATTGCTTTGGACATGCACATAGCACCTGCCAGAAATACCTTAAAACAGTTGTGTGGGGGGGGGAGGCTAGTGGAAATCCAAATTACATTTTACCTTTCAAATGTGAAAATTTTGCCCTAAGCACAATGGGAAAAGCATATTATTCTAACACAAGTTATCTAAATATCTACTAATAAACACCAACCAGCCTTCTTTCTGCCAATGTTCTAATTTCATAAGCAAACCAGAAAGTCAATTGCCTTTTATCAAAACTTCCTGTTATTTTATTCTGATAATTTCACTTTTTCTTATTTCTTTGCCATGGAGTTCTACTGGCAGGATTTCTGATTCTCTGATTTTATTTATTGAAACAAGTTTTTATAGACTGCCCACTTGAGCAAGGATTCAAGTTAATTTATAGTATAAAATGAGTACAAAATCATACCTCATCAAATTAATCCAGCCCACCTTTATTCCATCAGTGTTCCAATGCCCTGTGGAGCAGTAACATTTTTAAAGGGTGGGAACATTCCTAATCTTGGGTCACGTTGCTCTAAAGAGTGTGGCAGCCCTTGAGAAGCCAATTACAGTTCTTACCTCTCCTCAGCTAGGACCCTAAGCATAATTTCCTTAATGATTGTATGTGACAGGCTGAGTTTGACTGAGAAATATGACCCCCAAAATCCTACATACCAAGCCATGAAGAGCTTTAAAAGTGATGACCAGGTCTTTGAACTGGACTGGAAGCAAACCTAAATCCAATATAGGGCCCTCAGAATAAGAGTGTTGAATCAACTAGTTCCAGTTAGCAGATGGATGGTTTGAAACTTTTAAATAATTGTTAAGGGCAGCCTTTTGAATAGTGTATTACTGTAGTCTATATGCAAAGTGACAAGCTAGGGCACCTTGATCTCCAAAAGCCTTGAAATTAGCATACCAGCTGGAGCTAAGTAAAGATCTCCCTTTATAAGGCTTCCATATGCTGCACTCCAGCAGGATACTCAAATTGTGAATCTGTCTCTTCAGATGAAGTGGACCTTATTCAATGTTAGAGCTGGGATCAAACCAGATCAGACACTGACAAAGAGCAACAGTGTCTCGTAGGAATCAGAGTCAGCATATTGCACCAACAATGTGGGTCCTCATTTTATTGATCTCAGAAGGATGGAAGGCTGAGTCAACCTTTGACTTTACTTATTTTGACCCCCACCGGACCAAGTAGCCTCTGGGCAACAGAAGTGGACATTTTATCAAAACTACTTTTTTATTCCAAACAATATCTATAAAATTAAAGAAATTTCTTTGGTGAGTTAAATGCATCAATTTTGAAATTTATCTGGCAAGGGAAAAAGCCAGAATAAGACTGAAAATGTTACAAGAAGCAAAAGAAAATGGAGGATTTGGGTTACCAGACTGGGTTCTATTCTATCAAGCAGCTGCATTAATATGGTTAAAAGAATGGATAACGCTTAGACACAAAAGATATTTAGAAGGACACGACTTTCAACTTGGAATGGCACACTTTTCTATGATACGGGAAGAACAAAATCCATAAATACTTTCAAAATCACTATGTAAGAAATGCCTTGCTTTTAACATGGGAAAAAATAAAAATGAAAATTTATATGAAAATACCAGGATGGATCTCGACAATGGAAGCGTCTGTACACCCAAATTTAATCAACTACGAGAAATTTGTGACCTATAGAGACATTATGAATACTGAAGGAAAATTACAAACTAAATAAGAATTGGAAGAACAGGGCATTGAGCTATCATGATGGCTACACTTGCAAATGCAAATGAGATACGAAAAAGATGGCAAAACATTTGTTTTTTATAAAGACCAAACAGTGTTTGACCAGATACTATTGTCATCAAATGAAAAGTTGATTACAAAATACTATATTTTTTTGTTAAAGATGGAAGATGAACTAATTAAAGAAACAATGATAATTTGGACAAAAAACTTTGGGCACAATGTAGAATTAGAAAAATGGTAAAACTTGTGGGAAAGAAACTATAAAATAACAAGGGCAGTACTTATAAAGAAAATTTATATAAAATGTTTTATAGATGGCATTTACCACCTGCAAGATTAGCAAAAATGTTTAAAAACATGTCTAGTAATTGTTGGAAATGTAAGCAAAAACCAAGCATGTACTATCACCTCTGGTGGACATGCCCCAAAGCAAAAAAATTCTGGTCAAAAATACATATGTGGTTAGAGAAAATGCTAAGAAAATATGTAGATTTTAAAACAGAACTATTTCTGTTATGTATAATCACAGGAAACTATATACACAAAAGTGTATATATTTAATATTACATGTACTAACAGGGGTGAGAATTACATTTGCACAGTTTTGAAAAAATGAAGAAACACCAACGGAAGAAGACATAATTAGGAAAATTTTGGACTGTGCAGAAATTGATAGGCTTACATTGAAAATGAAAGGGAAAGAAGACACAGAATATTTTTAAACACGGGGTAATTTTTACAAATGGCTAGAAAAACGGAGTAGAGAGTAGGAATGAAAGTTGTATTATTATTAATGTTAAATATGTGGACCCAGACAACATGTTATTAAGCACTAAAGATTTGTAACTAGAAAAAAATAATAAAATATCTATTTAAAAAAAAGTGGACTTCTACAGTTTGGCCTGAAATGACAACATCCAACAACCAAAATGATGGATGACTTCATGCAGATGTTAAAAACAACAACATTGAGGCAAGTGCTGAGTATATGGAAACCCAGAGTAGTGCAACTATGGATGTGACCAGAGTTTCCCCAAACACATCACCTGGAACTATCTGCTTAGGCCAGACGAGAAGCTGCCACATTACCATGTGAACATAGGACACTTGAGCCATTTCATATTCAGAGCAACTGCTTCAGCTAAAAACACTTCAAATTCAAAATACACTGCGTGTCTCTATAAATTTCCCTGCATAGTCAAAATTGCTAATTTTCATACCACTTCATTTTCTGTGCACAATTTTAGTAACTCCACTCTGACGGCAAATCATTATGGAGGCATTGTTTGAAATGAAAGCCACACAGTTCTCGATTTAGTCCTGAATGAGATATTTTCAATGGTTTCTTTTTCAGCAGCTGCAGAGCACAGAGCTACAGACACATTCAGAAAGGGAGTCTTAACAACGTTGAGAATTTTCAAAGACAGAATTACTAGGAAGAATACCTCTGTGCCAGAACTACTGTACTATTGTATTTATAAATTCCCCAAGAGTTTGTTCTTCTCATTGCAGTATAAAAGTAGCTCACTTGAGTGTTGGCTGCATTCTTTATTTCTTGGCTATGGGGATGCCTGGAAACACTCTGCCTACCAGTTTACTGAAACTGTCATTCACAGAAAAAGGCAAATTACACTGCGGTAAAACACCCTTGTATTTACCCAGCAACTTGGAAGCTAGGCATTAAAGCCTCTCATCAACCTGCTTTTTCTGCTATTGCTCAGAGGTCCTATCTAAATGTCTCTGTAAAAAAGCAGGGGGTGGGTGGGTGGAGGAAAATTCATCATAATAGCCTGGGGATAGGGGGAAGAGGGGATGATATCCCCTCTCATGGAGAAAATAGAGACTCTCTATTTGCCAAACTCCCAGTTTGGCAAATAGATCTTCAAGGAATGTGGTTTTCGCTGTAACTTCAAGATGAATGAAAATAATTCACCACAGGGTCTGACCTAGTTTAGTCTTATTCGGTCAATTTTATTATTTGGATATAACTTGCTTTGTACCTGTACCAGCAAGAGCTACTGCTACCTGGCTACATTGACTCATATAGACAGCAATCACTCTAAGGAGTCAATAGCACCTTTACGTGCGGACTAAGTGCCCGCGTGTGTACACGAAGCCACAATCAAGTGTAGTTTCAGACGTCTTGCAAAAAAAAAAAAAAGTGCTCTTGTTGCCCCTGACATGGCACCCACTCATCCTGTCAGCGGCTCCAGCGGTTGGCACATCTGTCAGCGGCTCCAGCGGTTGGCTTCAGAAAAGCTCTTTGGAGGTCCCCTTTCGTTCCTTTCCTCCCACTCTCGTCGAGAACGGGGGAGCCGCTTTCTTTGCCCTGCAAGGCGAGGAGATTCGCCGCCGCCGCCGCCGCGTCCGGCCTCTCAGACTTCGCCTTGGCCTCCTAATTCCACTCGAAGCCTCTTCGCAAAGGCGGCGACTCTGTGGAAAAACAAACATTTCCCCCTCCCAGCAGGCAGGAAAAGCAGGGCCGCCGCCGGTACATATTTGGGTTTGGGAGAGGCGGAGCGGCGAGCTGGCAGGGGGAGGGCTTGGGGCGGGCCTGGGCAACTCGGGGGTGGGCCCCGGCTCTTGGCTCGTCGTCAGTAAGGCAGTGATCGCGGCCGTCTACTCCAATCCGGGAGGAAAAACCCCCGGAGGTGGTCGTCGAACAGTTGGAGAAGGCGGCGGAGAGGCAGCAGCGGGCAGGGCGGTGAGTAGCTGGAGGGGGCGGCCGAAGAGCGTCCCCCGCGAGCTCAGCGGAGGACAAGTTGCGCCAGGGCTCCGGCTCCGCCGCGGCGGCGGCAGCAGCTCTTCCCGTTTGCTCCGCGGGCCATCTCGCCGCTTCTTTCCGGACTCCTGGTCGACTCCCGTGTTTTTCGCCCTCGTCCTCATGGTGGGGCTTGCTTGTTTTGCATCCTCTTCCAGCCCTCTGGGCAGCTTCTTGCTCGTCTTTCTTTTCCTCTCCTCTCCCTTCCCGGTGCCTTTTCTTTCTCTCTGGACCGCGCCACGTCCGGGCTTCCCGCCGGGCACCTGCCTCTCCTCGCCTCCTCCCTCCCGCCCGCTTTGTCTACTTGGGAACGTGCGCCTTTTCTCGTCGGCTCCCTCCCCGGCCGAGAGCGGTTCCGGCGCTGCAGCTTTTCGGGTTTTGCTGTTGAACAACTTTTTTTTTTTCCCCTTGCATCTTGGACGGTGCCCGGCCAGAGCTGGATGGCAAGAGCAAACTTGGGCACTGCCCTGTTTTGGGGCGAAGGGAGCGTAAGAATCGGGGACGAGGGGCATCCCCGAGCTGGAAGCGGCTGAGCTAATTTGGCTGTCCTTCCCCCCCCCCCACGCCCCATCCCCCTCTCTTCTAAGCCGGCGATTAGGAGGCTTTTAGAGGCTGCTTGTTCCGAGATAGCCTGGACGAGGCGGAGATGGGCGACCGCGAAGGGCCTTGGGAGCTGCGGCTACTGAGTGAGCGAAAGATTCCTCCGGTAGATAAACCCGCTTTTGTGAGGGATTTATCTCTTGCCGAGTTTTCCTTTCTGTTTTTTTCTTTTTGCCCCCCTTTCCATTTACGATTCGCCTAAGGGGGAACGACAGCGGGTTTTGTCACCGCAAACTCCCCCCCCCCCCCGCTAGAATAGACTGAGTGAGTCAGCCCGGAGTGACGAGTTGTGTTGTTTTTTCTCCTTCAAGTTTTCTATCCCGTCTTCTCTTAATTGACGCCGGGTTGTGCAGAAACGCTCCTTGGCGCTTTTGGAGTGCACGTCACTCGAGGTCTGTTCTTGCTCGGTTTTGCGAAGGCGCCTGTAAATGAGACTGGGATTCAAGAGGACCTCTGATGAAAAGCGGTTCTGTAGCAGTCATTGTCTAATTAGGGGAAAGTGATGCTTTGTGGCTTTTAAGTAATGTTGCGCATTGTTCTGACGTTATTAACTGTTCTTGCAGTAACAATAGGGTAAGAGTGGATCGCAGAGTGCCAAAGGAGCCGACTTGGCTTGTCTGAAAGTTAACGCATAAGAAAGGTCGGAAGAAAGGCAGAAAATAGACCTTTGGAAAAAATAGGGGAAGAGTTCCTGGTTTCTGTTATCTGTGGTAGGCTTACTCTCCCACTGCTTGCTCACTTTATTTCTGTCTCTCGCTTTTAAAATTCCATTTTCTGCCATCCAGCCAATAAGGATGCTGAGCTACGTTTATTAGGGCATGGCTCGGTTCCTAACGTTATGATAATAGACTTTTAAACATATCACTTTCTATTTCTTCGAACAATGGTGTTTTTGGTTTCAGACTATGGAGGGAAGTAAACTGTTGTCATTGTGCTTTCTGAGACTTCGGCAGGCATGGCATTATGAGAATAATACTTTTAGTGTCCGCAGTGTTTAACTTCAAGATAAACATGCAACATCTGACGCTTAATTATAGATTGAATTGTGCTGTTTTTCTGCATATTATATCAAGACCCATGTAGTAGAAAATAAAATGTTGGCAAATGAGAGAAGGTTCCCTAAAATGCTATAAGTATAATTCTTTGAATTACATTTTTAGATTATAGGGCAAGCCTGAATACCTTTTCCAGACTTCTGCATTATAAGTCTTACTGACTTTTAGAAGAATTGATTTTCATAATGTCTTTGAATGGGATAATGAGAGCTAAAATGATATAATCCACAAAATGTATTGCTGCTTCCTATGCAGGTTTGATTTTTGAAATATTTTATTAACAAGACAATGAAATAGTGAACATAGCGCAGGATTGGCATAATTTACTTAAGATAAAGCATTGTTGTTTGTTATATGTTGTTTTTGGTGAGCTGCGGCTGCACAAATTTGATAAATATATGAGACAGACATTGCTTCATAAACTTCATTGCACTGCTGAGACTATAACTTCTCAGTGGAAGTAATGGTTTCAAGAACATTGAATTTGTGGTTGCTATTTGATTTCTAGATAAGTACTACTCATAAATATTGAAATATGTATTTAGTGTTCAACTTGACCTTTTGGAGCATGTAATGATTATATGTAGTTTGCTCATGAAAGGTGGTCTTACATGAGCCATTTTTATTTATTCATCCATTCATTGAATTTCTTTGAATCAAAATCACACTTTAAAAGCCTCTGTAAAGTGAAGCTAGACATTCAATTCAACAAATGCTGTAGGATCAGTGACGCTGACATAAGCATACACTATTCTGTCTATCTTATAACAATTTTCATATTATTATACAATGAACATTCAGATGACATTTTAGAAATAGTGATGCCAGTAATTCTCTCACAGATTTGGAGTAGGTCAGAAAATACAAATATGGGTGCCATTCTACATTGGAAAACTTTTGTACAAAGCAGATCTCCAAATAGTTTTCTTATTTTAATCATACTTAGCTTTTAGGAAGTATATTACAAGGCACATTAATACAGCTTCGCAGCTTACTGTCTGAATACTATATTGTGCAGTTTATCACCATTAATTTAAGGATTTTAAAGCACCCGCTAATTTTAAAGGTTTAGCTAAAGGGAGAAGAAAGGCAACAGGGTAGCTGATGCTGTTTCAGAGGTTATATGAACAACTTATTAGTAATATTAGGAATTTTAACTCTTCTTGGGGTTATTAGCTCATATTTAGAAAGGAGTATCATGACCAAAGCATATCCAGCATGTTTGTTTTCTTGTTTTGCTTTATGGTAGGGATTGAAGAGAGCCACTTTGACGTAGTGGCTAAGATACCAGGCTAGAAACCAGTGAGTAGACTATGACTTCTAGTCCTGCTTTAGGCATAAAACCAGGGTGACTTTGAGCCAGTCGCTCTTTCCCAGTCCTAGGAAGAAGGGAATGGTGAACCGCTTCTGAAAATTTTGCCAAGAAAACCACTGGACTAAACACTGATTCAAAGGCACAAAATAAATATTGCTGAACATTTTTTACTATAAAAAGAAAAGGGATTCCTTGCTTGCTTGTACTCCATGATGAACAAGCTGGGATAAAATTTAGCTTCTTAATCTTGCTATCAACTCTTATTAATTTTGCAACTTTTTTTAAAAAAATACAAAGCTGTTTATTATTATTTATTCATGCCTCTTTTCTTCAAATTGTTGTCTCTGTCACATAGAGTTTTCCTTAGAAAGTCAAACTTGTTTTATGACCAAGAGCTTGTTTCAGGATACTTTATTATAGAATATATTATCTGACTTCTATACATCTTTCGTTGACATTGACCAACTTTATTAGCATTTTTCCTAATCATATCAAGATGAATTTAATCTTATGGCTAACTAGGCCACCTTGTATATAAGCAGATGTTCTTTCACTGTATGGGTAATTTTGTAAGTAGGCCCATGTTATGTGTTAATAGGTCTGTAAGGCACACTTAGTGGTATAATTCTAGTGCTGAATGCCACCAAGTTATGAATTCTGTATTCTGTAATGTACATTTTAAAGTTGTTCATGTTAAAGAATCTGAATTAAAGAGGTTTTAACAATTACTGTCTCCCAAAGTGGATTTTCTACATCCATAAGATGTATAGAAAAGGACAACCAAAATGAGCAAAGATCTGGATCAATTCCTTGAAGAAAATATATCATTTAAATCTTTTTAGCATAGAAAAAAAGATAAATGATAGAACTCTATAAAATGGAAATGGTGAAGAGGAAGAGGTTCCTCTCTCTTCCTTTCTCCCAATCCCCATAATACTAAAAGTTGTAATAAGGGCATTAAAAAGAATCACTGGTTCACATGGCACATGGTTGAACAATAGGAATTTGATACCTTCAGATATAATCATCAGCACCAATGTGTTATAACTGAAATTGGAATTAGACAAATCCATGAAAAATTAAATTATACTATTCATTGATGATCACTAACCATAGCAGTTTTCCAAATTTGACAATGTTATGATGTGTAGATGTCAACTCCCAGAATTCTCCTAGATTTAGAAGCATGCTGGTTGGGGAATTCTGGGAGTTAAAGTCCACATATCTTAAAGTTGCCAAGTTTAAAAAACACCAAACTACAGAATCATAGGCAGGATACTTTCCGGTACTGCTTGCTGGTAAACACTAGTAAGAAAGCATTGTTAACCTCCTGTCCTTTGTTTGCATTTGTCATGACATCTGTTGGACAATGCTGAAGTAAATCATCCTTAATTGTGATGCTTTCTTTGCAAGTTAGTTCTGACCTAGCCAAAAAAAAACAAAAAAAAACTGAAAAGGGAGAAATACTCAATTTTTAAATAATTAAAAAAAAGATGTCTTGAGGAAATTTGTGTGTAGTCATACCTTTCAGAAAATTTTAATAATTTTTCAGCTGATTTATTCTTTAGATCAGTGGTCCCCAACCTTTTGGGCACCAGGGACCGGTAACGTGGAGAGAGGTTTTTATGCGGACTGGAGGGGTGTGGTTTTGTGTGCTGCCTGCATCTCGCGGATGGGGCTTTGCTTGTTTGTGCGGACCGGTTGCTGGCATGCTGTGGCCTGGTACTGGTTCATGGACCGGGGGTTGGGACCACTGCTTTAGATAATTCAATTTCACTTAGCTTAGCTCACTAGCCCATTTGTATGAATATGTCTTTCAAAAGTCATATAGTTGCAGTCATATAATTGCCAGTTGACTACCTCTAAGCCTTGAGTTGCAGTTGTCTGTCTGCCTGCTATCCTCCCTCTCTCCCTTCCCATTTATTCCCCAATCTCAGCTTGGGAGAAAGGAGGAAAGTTTTAACAAATTGACA